AAATACCGGATACCTTGAGACTGACGGCTAAGCAGGTGCGTGATAGGCTGCTGGGTAGCACCCTTCCTCGATTCGGAAGCGAGCTCGCGAATTTCATCAAGAACAGTGGGCAGTCTTCGAAATTCAAGGACCTGTTGTGGCTGCCTGTCGTCCTCCGTGCACATCTGCCCCCTAACCCCCATCCCCCGACACCATACGAGGTTGTGAGCAAGGTAACGGCGCGCTTCGTTATTCGTTTTTCCGGCAACCAGAGCAACTGGGAGAGGGTGTTGGAGGGCGATTCCACGGCCCTCAATGACAGCATCAGGACGAGCGCGAAGGCGGCGCTGGACCGTCGCCTGTACGTCACCGAGGTGAGCATCACTCGCTTTAAGCCCGTCAAGGATGGTGGCAGGCGAACCGAGGGTCTCCTGGTGCACGGCGAAGCACGGCAGGGTCGGACGGTGATGGCGCAACACTCGTGGGATGCAAGGGACATCATCAGCGTACTCTCCCAAGGGAACTACAGCGCGGCGCTCGCGCTCTGCACGGGAAGGGAGGCACCGGCGAAGCTGATCGCGGTGGGCCTCGATGTCGACTTCGGGGATATTACCACAGTGCACCACGTGGCGCTGATCTGCATCGCTGGTGTTATAGCCTTTCTCACGATCATTGTCCTGATTTTTTTCGGCTATTATATGTGCTTGAGGGCAAGACGAGCAGTTCGACTAGACGAGTCGAGTGAGGACCTCTCTGAGGTATCCTCCAATGGATTTTCCAATCCTAGGAGTCTTTCTGCTGCCTTTACATGCGACTTACACCACCCTGCAGCGTCAGGGAGCGATTTTGCTGATCAAACTGGTGCCTACACCCCCCCCTCCGGGCAGTTTGATGGAAGATCTCTCAGAAGACGACAGCCCTCCGTAAGCATTATCAACCCATTAAGAACTACCGAAAACACTGACGCAGAACCGAAGGTGGCAAGCGAAGCTCCCCTATCTTCTTTTTAGACCGATGGAAGTGTATTCATGGGTATTCAAGGAGTCACGAGTGCTGCGGAGGCCAATATCTTCCCGTGGATCTAGCACAAACAGGCGCACGCAAGTTAAAAGAGTAGGACTTCCTAGCACCTTTTCATTGTTCCATCCATGTGTGCGTGCGGATTAGCTTTATTGTTAGATAACTGAATTTATCCACTAGGGTCTAGCTTTGACTTCAATTGCTTGCAAATCCCACCATGACAAGGTTATAAGGGCGTTGCGCTTAGGAAAATAGAAAACAAAATTATTATCATATATATATTTATTGGTTTATATATATATATGTGTAGCTAGTTTTATTTAGAATGTGGATTTGAAGTGAAGGAAAGGGGTAACCAATTGTTGACATTACCATGCGATCGTGTCGCATTTTTTTTTCAGATGCGTTAGCTTATTTTGTTCTAGTTTATTTTTATCAATGCAACGGAGGGCGTCTTCATTAATGAGCCTGTAAAAGGACACCCAAGTTCCTATTAACCTTTATGGTTACCTTTATTTAAGCAGATATTTACACCCACCTTTAACAAACCATGTCTATATATTTCTATAATTCCGCTGCACTAGCTGCCTTCCGTTACGCCGGTCGCACTATAAAGTCGAAAATTTTTGTTGAAAAATCCAAGGAATTCACACCCTCTACCCTTCTTCCTGAAGCGAGTGGTACTTCTACTCAAGGGCGGTAATGCGTGCGGGCAGCCCAAGGGATTTTTTTAATATACCTATTCCTATTATTTTTAATAATATTATTTTCATGCTTGTATACATATATACACTTCCACATAGGTTTCGAATTCCCTAGTTAGTTGATTTCAGGGGTTGCAACCAGTGATTTATTTTGTTGTTTTGCTGAATCTACCCTAAAACGTTTTTGTTTTTACTTTTAACTATTGGAGGATAGAATTGGTAAGTAGAGGTTTGGTGGATTTATGAATCGGCAGAGCTAGGTGGGCCCAATGAATCTTGCAATTGGGAACACCGCTACCACGACAGCTCTAGGGCGATACCATTGGCAAAGGTATGCTTTGGAGTTCAGAACCTATCCCTGGACTCACCAACCCTCACACTCCATGTGGTACGGTATGTTTGCGCACCCCCCTTTGCGGAGGAAGGGTGAATTTTAGCACAGTGTGCGGGACTTTTCCAGGGGCTGTTGAACTCCTCTATTTTCTTACACTGGAAAAAATTCAATACCGTAGTAATCGATAAAAAAATGGGTTTATATTTTACATAACATCATTTAACTTTTAATATTTCAGCCGCTTGGAAAAATTATGATAGAAAAGACGAATACAGAGCCAAACAGCAGAATTCAGGAATGATAAAGTCCCGACTTGATTACCTTTCTTGTTTCAATTATTTGTTTCGTTTCCTCACATGAGGGTGATAGTTGTATGCGTTTGGCGATGCTAAAGTGTTGCCCACAACCTGCTCACATAAGAGATCTTTCCCACTCATTGCTTAATAATTCTTATTTCCTTGTATTTTTTGCTTTCTTTGAGCACCGTTCGCTCATAGGTTAAACAGGTTAGCCATATGTGATTGTGGAAGGGGGAACATGTCTTATGGTGGGCTCTGGATTCTTTCTATTGGCGCTCTTAGAACGCTCGGCTGCCCTGTTTTGCATCTTACGGGGAGGGTAGAGGTCTTTTGATTCCTCCCCCCCTCCCTCTGCTTCCAGCAGGTCCACTTAAGCTCAGGCGTAGCACGTTGATGCTATATAGAAGAGTCAAGATTAGGGTTGCCCTCATGCCCTTTTGTTTGTGAAATCTTATTTTCAGTGATTCACAGTTAAATGAATGAACATGCTCTCAGCTTTCTTTTCTCCTCGCTTGGAGAGATTAAACTTGATTTTTTTTCTTCTTGTTTTCAACAAGGGACTGATCGACTTGTTAGTAGATATCCCCTTTATTATCTATGTGTGTTCCGATTCTTCGATCTTACAGATTATATCGTCATACCATTAGACTGTTCATATGCTCAAGTGCATTATTTTGTCCTTCCTTTCTAATCTACAAGCAATAGATTTTTCCTCTTAATCCTAGACGCACCGAGCGCACGCATTTTCTCAAATATAAAAGATTTTTTCAGGCACCGTTTTAGAGTTCTACACACGATTGTTTCGTTATTTTCAACCCCTTTAGATTTATTTAATCTTTTTTTTTACAGTCATTATATTTAATCTTAGCTTTCCACGGCTTATATCCTTTTGGGGGTTCCAGATTAAACACACACACACACACACACACACACACACACACACACACACACACACACACACA